ATCAAAAGAGTACAAGTGAGAAAAAACTCATGGGTTGAGATAAAGGCCATTTAATAAATGAAGGGGGCAAAGGGGAAAAAAGTGTTTCGAAGGCAATCCCCCTCCAGCTCCCACCAGCAAACTGACACTCAGCCAGTCTTCGCACAACAGCCACCTGAGAGGGAGCACCCCTGGCTCTACTGCTGAGCACGTATGGTCTGGGATATTCCTGTGGCCAGCTGGGCTCAGCTGTCCCCACTGTGTTGCCTCCTGACATCTTTCCCAACCCCACCTCGCTCTCTGCAGGGGAAGTGGGAAGCAGAAGCGGCCTTAACACTGGCTTTATGTGGTTCAGCAATAGGTAGAACAACCCATTGTTATCAACACTGTTCTAGCCACGAATCTAAACCACAGCACCATATAGGCTGCTATGAAGAAAATTAACTCCATCCCGGCCAATATCAGTACATGATATCAAACAGTCTCTGCATCAGGCAAAATATTCTCGATAAAGAAGCAAATAACCTGCTTTTCTCAGAACATGTTCCGTCCTGGTGCTTACAAAAGATTATTGCATTCTCCTGCCTTCTTTCTTGAGCCTCCTCTCCCCTCTATTTAATCAGCAATCCTTGGCAAGCCTTCTGAAGTGAAATCAGATTTTGCACAGAGATAGTTGAGCGCTAATATTAAATCAGAAAATGGGATTTCAAGCTCTCCTTCCAAGTGCAGTCTACAAAGGGTACAAGCAGCACCTCCTCCCCAAATACATCTTTTGAGGACTGCCAAAAGTGCACAATGTAATGCATGAAAACAGCTTAGGTTTAAGAAGAGAAGAACACCTAAAGTTGCCACCAGCAGACTCCTTGCAAACACTTGAAATAAGAGTATATTTCACTCCTCTAGATGCATCAGAATATCTTGACTGTCAAAAGTCACAGACTTTATCCTTAAATACGTTTTAAGCATAGCTCCACCACCACAAGTGTAGTGAGTGATGAGCAGTATTTGAAATATATCCCAGAGAATTATTGGTTCGAGAGCACTGCAGGTGTTGCTTTGGGAAAAACTAATTACACTTCATCAGAACATCTGTTTTTGTAAAACACTGATGTTAGGTAGGCTATACACTAAGAAGGCTCTATTCAAAAGCACCCACACCTGGGCAGCACAGCATAATCCATACTGAACCTGCCCACAAGGTATCTAAAACAGCATAATAACCTGAGGCAGAAAATAGATTTCAGAGGATTTGGAGTAAGGCTTACAGCACGTAAATAGAGAAATCCCAATTCTTTAAATATTGCTTTAAACAGTCCTCCAAAGAAAACCTAAATGTGACATAAATATTAAGTATTATTATTCTTATAAAACAGAAAGGTATCCACCATAACAGTATCTAGAGACATCACACAGCTTTGGAATAGCATCAGTTCTTTCCAGGATAGAAGCCAAACTCTTCCATCATTCTGATTAAATTTCTACAGCTTTTCCAGACCCACACTGACACCAGCTTTGAATATTTTTATTTTTGTTCTTCTACCTTAAGGAGAGGTTCTGCCAATGGGACCATCATTACTTCTGTTTATTTTTTAATGTCTGACAGTGCTGAGGCACAAATCAGGATTGTATTTAGTGAAGTTTGCCTCTAACACAGAATCAATAACATCCAATTTTGCAGTGTATTTAAAGTTTATGAAGTGCGAACATAGAAACAGCTACCATACCCATGGGCTCCAGCCTTTACAAAAAGCCTTCTCTGAAAGCCTTCGTGTTAACACTTTTACACTTGGCATTGTAATTAAAGCCACAATAATGGCACAGGTAAGAAAGGGTATGTGCTGAGAAAGGGAGGTTCGGACCATTTCAGCCTTTCAAAATGAGGGACACGACTCTAAAAAACCCTGGTGTTACACTACTGCTATTGTGTCCTTTGCTATTACATCGTTTAATATTAAAGTAAGAGTCTCTTTCCAGAAATAAAATACACAGCACTCACAGAGACATCTGGGCTGGAAAAAGGGATACAATTCTAAAAGTGCAGTCCTGAAGAAATATGGGTATTTCAGTCTCACACCTCTCCTCTTCCACAAAAAATAATCCTAAAGTTTCAATCTGTAACCTTTTTTCCCCTCCTTCCAATATACGACCTCCATGCTCAGTCAGGGACGGCCACCCAAGGCCAGGCCTTGTTGTCAAGGTTTGGGGCGGGGTTGGCCACTAAACTAATGACAGATGCTCTCTAACCGCTCTCTCTCTCCAAATGGGAAGGGGAAAGGGAAAAAGGCAAGGAGACTTGCAGATTAGAAAAGAAAACAGCTTTAATAAAAAATTAGAGTACTAATAAGGAACTAATAATGGAATGTATATACAAATAAATGAAAATAAATATACACAAATATATATAAAACTGATATTGAACCTGACTCCCCCCTCCTCGATAGCAATCCCCACCTGATGCTGCAGAGCAGGCAGCACTGGGGAGACCCCAGTCTCAGTGGCAGAGAGGAACCTGACATAGAAACTGAGTTTTGGGAACCCAGGATTGGAATCGAAGGCAGAAGAAGGGACAGAGTCCTCCTCAGATGCTGTCCATTGAAGTTGAAGGCTTAATTCCCATGATCTCTCAGATTTATACTGAATAAGATGTATATGGAATGGAATACTTTTGTTGGTCAGGTTTGGGTCACCTGTCCTATCCACTCTTCCCCGGACATGCAACTTCTTATTTCCTTGCAACTCTTTTACTTCCCAGCACCCCCAGCATGTCACACAAGACCCAGCAGTGACTTTGGTCACTATAGGAGTAAGTGTGAAGAGGAGCCCTTCTGCATCTCAATCCCTGGCAGTTAACTGTAAATATCAGGTGGTACCACTTCTAATATCAGATGCTGTCCCCAAAAACATGCTGTTGACTTCAGAAAGTGCAGCCTCTTAGAAGAGACTGAGCTGAAAAGTAAAATCACTAAACAGAATTGGTTCTGGTTTAACTCAGATCAGGACACCCATGTACCAAGTGTGCGTACTTCAGGTGTGGTGCCTACACTACAGCTGCAGTACATAACCAGCAGCAAACCCAGGTTACTTCGCCTGTTGCATTAGCTTCACGCTCGGCTGGGAGAACCTCACCTGGCAGGGACACAGTCTCATGAGCTTTTGGCTCATGCAGCCACATCTTCCTACACACGACTTACTCCTGATGCCTTCAGTGTGAGCAAGTGTTCCTGGATCAGGCTCTAAATCATACACATTTTTAAGAGAGAATTTAATGCACCCAAAGATAGAAATACGTAAAATTTTTATTTATTTATATGTGTCACAACCTTTTATTCACTTCTGCAAGTTTTATGAAAGCACTTAAGCAGATTGATAATTGCCACCCTGTAACAATGTCATAATATTGATACAGAAGCAGTCAGGCCACAAAATCTACTCAAAAATCATCACACTGACCAGGTACTGCACAAAGTGGTAAATCCACTTAGAATCTGAATGCCTCAGTCTCACATATGATAATGTACTGATAATCCTCATCTAAACATTTCACCACCAATGCTGATCAAAAAGCCTCTTTTGTTCTTTGAGTATGACATGCCTGGCAAGTTCCACACATAGCAACAGACCCTCATTTGAGTGATGTGGAGATCACTAAGAGAGCATAACTTGTTTTTCTGCTTTCATTCAGCAGAGTAACAACAGAGATGCAGAAGAAAACCTTCTTAAAGCCCCCGATTTTGCCATAATTCCATCACTGCAGTGATCCCCTCGAAAAGGAAACAGCTGATGAGTTCCTAGAAAAGCAGATTCACAGCCTAAGCCTCAGTAAGGTGTCCAGGGACCGTGGGATAAAAAGGGGTTGATTCTGCAAACCACAACAAGCTATACAGCAGGTCCTGGTGTCAGATGCCTGCTGGGATATGAGAGGTAAGGGATTTGTTTCTGCATGATTTTTAGTTCTACTTCTCAAAACAGACTTCCACCAGAAGGCTTATGATAAACATTAAGCAGAGAGGTGTGAGAAGCTGAATTAATTATATGCTTCTTCTCTGAAAACAGTCATAAATTCCCAAATCTAAATCTACAGATGAGCATTCCCACTGACATTAATACAGTTACTAACTCAAGTAAGCTGTGGGCATTAACTTTAACAGGGTTCAGCCAAAGAAACAGTCTTAAAAGGCCTTTTTTTCATCCCATTTAACAATGCGTTGCCAGAGAACAATCCAAGTATTAGGGAGAACTGCAGAGTACCTTAAACTCTGCTCACAGATGTTTGACTTACAGTTTATCAGGCTAAATCTGAATTGAACTGCTTATTAGCATAAAGTCATTCTGCTGCCAACACTTTACAGTAAGAATGGCCTGATAGTAGACTAGTATTGAGTGTCTGCAGAATCAGGGTGTTCATGAGGAAGAGCAATAGTTTGAAAAAAGCTAAGAGATTGTGCAGAGGATTTTAGCTCTTGCTGCTGGAGCGGGGATGTTTTGGTTTTTTTCACAGGATTATTCTAGATGTAAAGACACAAATTACAGAGGCTCCTCTTTTGATTAAGTAGCTTGTCGCTCCCTGATACCAAACAAGCAGCTCAAATAATGAATCATTACTGAGTATGATTAACAATATTAGTACCTATACTACAGCATTTACTTACTTTCTGGGGAGAGAGAAAGGGAACAGGCAGGAGTGAAAAGAGGAACTAAATGTTATACTGATACGCTATTGAAATGGCTGACTTTTAGGTTGCCTGTACATCTGAATACCACAGAAAAAACCTATAAACTTCCCTATCAAAGCACATTTTTAGTTCAAGACCTCAGCCATACTAATTTGCCATTTCAACACCATTTAGACTTTTTTTTTTGAAAGAACTTAATTGGAGAGATAATTATTTTAGTTGATTAATACGCTGCATATCTAATTCATTGCATTTAATAGTCCCTTTGACAACTGAGAACTTACGAACCAATACCTTCATCCCACAGTAATTCCTACAGTGATGCTAAGCACCTATACAAGGTATTACCTTCACAGTAGGCATTGTCCTCTCGAAGGGCTCGAAACCCATCTCGGCAGCTACAGACAGCTCTATCATCTAGGTTTCGGCAGACAGAATGCTCCATACAGTTATGTCCTTCAGTGCAAAAGTCATGGCCTGTACGGAAACAAATATGATTGAGGGTTAAAAAGAATCCAGGGATTACAAAAGATCCCTGTCAAAGATGGTCCTATCTTTTTTCTCAGTTAGGTCAAATAATACCTTTCTATTGTCCAAGAGATATACGAAAATAAATTGTACCAAGCATGAAACAGATGAAAGGAGTAGTAAAGGCCACAAGAACAGACTGTCTCCAGGTCTTCAATTCAATTTCAGGTTATGGCATTGATCTATGGCAGCTTGCTTAAATCCCCTTACTGTCTGTTTGCCATTGTTAAGTACAGGCCACTTCTTAATTATATTTTTTCTTCTTTTCACTGTTTGGACATTTATAAAAGAGCTCAATACCTTAGACACTCAGTAGCTCGTTTACTCATGGAATTACCCTTTTACTTGCACTTTTTGTTTCCAGGTGTATTTATGAAATCTTTCCACATTTAACCAAAAGTCGTTGATGAACTTCGACTTGTTTTGCTTTTCTCTTCCTGTTATCTCCTCCTTTCAAGCTCTGCTGACTGAATATTCTCCCCTGATTGTATCATCCTTTCAATTTCAGAGGAATTAGTTTTTGAATATCTCATGGTTTAGCCATCCCTGTTTTCAATCTTCCTGTTTTTTCCCTTCCATTTTTCCTAAGTGTGACCATTTTTGATTGCACCCTAACTAGAATTTTTTAAGATTCTGAAGTTCTTTTCCAAGTTGGAAAATTTAGATCAAATCTTTCAACTTGGCAGTTGGCTTTTCCTTCTATTTGCTCTCATAAAATCTAATGCTGCTATATTGCTCATCACCATTAAATAACCTATTACTATGCTGAATTCAAGCTGGTTGTATTAACTGACTTGAAGCTTCCACAATTTCCACATCTGTTTATAAAGGTGTGGACCTGTCTACCTTATTGGTTTTTAATAATTTCATTTATTTATAGTTTTTCTCTTTAACTGAAGCATTAAAACTGATCAAGCAGCAGTGCTTCACTGTTGGTTTCCAGTAACTATTTTCTTCTCTCAAAAACCTCCCACAGGAAAACTGATAAATGTGGGTCAGGCTCAGGAGACCAAGACTGGTCTAACAGCAATAGCTCCAGAAAGCAATCTGGAATCACGCCGCAACACAGGCCTCTTACAATGTAACAATAAGTATCTGTTGGCAGTAAAGGTTATTATTTTTACAACTCTACCTGGCTTCTACTTCATATTTTGCTATGAAAGAGCTTCAGTATCACAAAACCCAAGTTAAATAAGCACTTCAAGGAGGACAACAGCAGAGTCTGCCTGGAGGTCAGGTCAGAGAGATGTTTTGCACTTGGCAACTCATGAACTGTGTGAAACAACACAAACCAAACAAAACAAGACAAGAGAAACAGAAGAACTCGTAAAAGCAGAGTGTTTTTGTACTGAGACCCAGTAATATGGTCATGACAAAACTGTGAGAGAATGATAAAATTGTTTAGGTTGGAAAAGACCTTTAAGGTCACTGAGTCCAACCGTTAATCTAGCAATGTGAGTCCACCACTAAACCATGTCCCTAAGCACCACACCTACACGTCTTCTAAATACCTTCAAGAATGGTGACTCAACCACCTCCCTGGGCAGCCTGTTCCACTGCTTAACAACCCTTTTGCTGAAGGGTATCCAATCTAAACCTCCCTTATTTCCCACTCCTCTTGTCCTATCGCTAGTAACTTGGGAGAAGAGATCAAAACCCACCTTACCACAACCTCCTTTCAGGCAGTTGTAGAGAGAAACAAGGTCTCCCTGAGCCTCCTTTTCTCCAGACTAAACCCCAAGTCCCTCAACCACTCCTCATAAGACTCATGCTCTAGACCATTCACTAGCTTCATTGACCTTCTTCAGATATGCTGCAGCACCTCAGTGTCCTTCTTGTATTGAGGGGCACAAAACTGAATGCAGGATTTGAGACGCAGCCTCACCAGTGCTCGTGTACGTGGGGGACAATCACTTCCCTCCTCCTGTTAGCTATATAACATATGACATTAAGAAGCAAAAAGCTCTACACTTCTACTAGCATTAGAGGTCCTTTAATACTCACTGATGACAACAGAACTGTGTGTATCAAGAGCAGCTTCTAGCCATGGTACTCTTTGCCGCCTTCCTGACTGAAGCCCCAGTTAATGACAAAGCAATATCCTTATTTTATTTTTTTATTTCCTGGCCTGCACTGGTTTATATTGGATTTCAGCACTAAATAACTAAGAACATACATGTCACCCGGAAAGAGCAAGTGCTTTTTTACTGAACTTTTGTTATTCTCAAGATTCTCAACATTTACGTATCAGCTGTACTAATAAACAAAATATGTGCTGCTGAATAATAGCGTATAGCAGCTTGTTTAAAGAATGAGCTCCACAGGTCAAAAGAGGCCAAACTAGTGTGGTTCAGAAAGGCCTGAAAATGTTCAAAAAGCACTTATCTGGCATATATTAAGATTTTCTAGCTATACCAGGCAGAAGAAACACAGAATCCTTTTTTTTCTAAGCTACTGAAGATTTCAGATAAAACAATTTAAAATCCTGTTTTGACTGCGATAGACTTGAAGACCTATCAACTTTTATTAAGTTCTTTTCTTCTACTTTCTTGTCTCTCTGCTTGATGTCATTAATCATATCCTTCGTGTTTACGCTGAGTGGCACAGAAACAAGTATAGCTATATGCTTCTTTTCACTGAAGTATACCTAAAATCAACCCAAGAGTCTAATATCTTTCATGCCAGGTATCAATTTATCACTATTTAGTTATAGAAGAAATAGATGTAGCTACTTGAAAATACAATTGCTTGTAGCTTTGAAGATACTGGTATTAGTCAAGATCAAAAGAGTGGGCTCAAGAGACAGAGCACTTCATGCATCCCTCCCCTTTGGTAAGCAACAGTCTCGGTATAACACACAAAGGTACATAGCATACAAAAATAATCCCCAAAGCTTCTGCTTCCTGCTGCAGACTGCAATACCAAGCAGGTAAATAAGTTACTCCAGTCTTCAAAAAACTGCATAGCACAAAGGGTTCTCTGAAAGAGACAAAGCATCTCAGAAAGATGCTGGGGAACATGGACATTTCTCCAGTCTCAACTAATTATATATGCAATTTCTTTGACTTTTCACCCACTTTTGGCTAGAATGAAAAACACAAGTGCCAGTAAAAGTTTCACTGAATTTACACTATTACACATCTTACAAACAACTTTCAGATGTCACAGTGCTGACGTTATCTATTCAGCTTCCCGAGATGCACAGTGATTATCAGGCGTAGGACTTGTCCTATTCAAAATTATAAGAAAAAAGTCTATATAACCTACAAGAATGGAAAATTACACTGAGCTTATCTATATACAGCTATTACCTTACCTTTACAGACTTTGCAGCAACTGTGAGATAAGGGGATCTGTTGAGATTCTGGGCAGTTCAAAGCTGTACAACTGTCTTTTGGAATACGCTGCATTTTGTGGTCCTGTTAAATTGAAGTAACTGATTAATGTTGTGAGAGAAAATATAAAGATAAGTGACAACTTTAGTGGAGTTCTAGCGTTTTAATGTACACACAAAAACCTGCCTATGCCAAACTCCAGATACATTCAAAAAACATCTAAAAGGACAACGTAGTACAACAAAAGCATCAGGAACTGCTCTATACTCAAACATTTTCAAGTAAGCAAAAGTGTATCAATATCTCTCATTCTTCTCTTGTCTTGGCAGCCAAGCAACTTGCCTTAAAATTTTGTCTTATAATTATGCCTGAAAGAGTACAAATTATTTCTTAATAACTAAGGCAGCAAATTCCAGAATCAAGTCTCCTCATAATGAATACTCTAAAGCAGCTTGTTATTTATACAGCAAGCAAAATCAAACTTGAACATCTCTGATCACAACGCTGTGGTAGTAACACTGAAGGAAACTGGCACTGATTCTCTTCTGGGAAAGAGAGGGTTTCTCAGCTAAGCTTGGATCAGGCATTTGAAAATATCTAATGCCACAAGACGGTATCTAAGTATCTTCAGGCACTTAGTGCAGCTCACATACAATCATTGCACTTTGACCACGTGAATGTCTGCCTTGGCAACCCAGCTGCCACAGATGTGCAACCTTCAGGCTCCCTCAGGCCCTAATTAACGTGTCTTGCGGTGCTCTAGTCATGACATGGCAAAAACAGAAAACAAGGCAAGCAACAACATGTTCTCAGAGGCATCCGTCTTAAAACTAGCAATCTGGTTAAAATACAAGCTCACTGAACTCAAGATCCTGCATTTCTGCATGCAAGAAAAGTGCCTAAAATCATGCATATACACGTGTTATCATTATGGGCCTAGCATTTATTTTTAAATTCTCTTCAAGCATGAGATATAAAGAGGAAACATGAACACAATGACAGTGTCAAAATTACTAGTCAAACTTTACCTTGGGAGAGAAATCAATCCTAATCGGATAACACAGCAAAGCAAACCACGCCAGGACAAGCAAAACTCAGCAATCCCATAAATAAATAAATAAAAAGATTCTGATAGAAATAATATCAATTAGCCAGTATCAATTTAATTCTTTCACAAATTCTAATTTGGAACAGAACTATTAATTCACTTGTTTTATATTCACTTGGGTTTTTATCCACTTGTTTTGGGCTACCAAGCTGGTAAAGGGCTTAGAACACAAGTCGTATGAGGAAAGGCTGAGGGACCTGGGGCTGTTTAGCCTAGAGAAGAGGAGATTGAGAGGAGACCTCATCGTTCTCTACAGCTACCTGAAGGGTGGTTGTAGAGAAGCAGACGTTGGTCTGTTCGCCCTAGTGGAGAGTGATAGGATGAGGGGAAATGGATTTAAATTGCACCAGGTTAGATATTAGGAAGAATTTCTATACTGAAAGGGTTATCAGCCATTAGAACAGGCTGCCCAGGGAGGTGGTTGAGTCCCTGTCCCTGGAGGTGTTTAAGAGAACACTAGATATCGCACTGGGGGACATAGTTTAGCAGGTTGATAGTGCTGGGACAAAGGCTGGACTTGATGATCTTCTAGGTCTCTTTCAGCTGATATGATTCTATGATTCTACAGTATCCAAATAGAAAAGTGTGTGCCTATACCAGACAAAATTGCAGCAGCCAAACAAAACAAAGAATTACATGCAGACAAAAAGAATAAATTCCCTACCTTGCCTTTCAAGTGTGAAATCACTATTTGTGCCATTTCTTTTAAGTCTCTCTTGAACTACAGTCATTAATTATAAGTTTTAATGAGGACTCCAGTAGTAATAAAATAGTGCCCATCTATGACTTCCTAACTGACCAACACACTTTAAAATATATGTATTTTTCTGCTCTGAATTATTATTCATAAGGCTGTTCATAAGAAACTGTCTCTACGTCAGTCCTTGAAAAAGCAGTATTTGAACCAGCCAAAGTTGCTAGTTAATATTTCTACGAGGACAGGCAGCTCAGCAGCAAACAAGTCAAACCAACAAAATGCAGGCTAGTATGGCCAACAGAGGCATTTTTTTCATACAGTACCACACTTGCCAGCTGCAAGAAACACAAGGCAACATCACATAACTTTTGATGGTTGTTAATTATATCCATTGACTAATCACAGAATTCATGGCCCAGGTGTCATGTCGAAAATATGAACTCATGGCTCTGAAACACATGTGACTGAATCAAAAACTATTTCTGGCCAGCTTCTCCCTTCCTCTCTCAAAAGGGTTTCAAAACATCTACTCCAGAAATTAAACTCACAAAAATTAAAATCAGTAGCAGTAAAAAAAAACCCGACAGTCCCCAGTTCTACTTTGTAAAATAGACGTTTTCACAACTGTCATTTCTGAGAGTTCTAGAAACTGGTCCAATTAAAAGCTGCAGTGTGGACAGCAGAGGAGTCGTTCCCCTCTTCTCTGCCCTAGAAATGTGCCCTCAGGTTTGTACCTCCACCCCACAGCACGTAGCTCTCTGACTGGAGAGAATTCCTCCCCATCCCTCCCCTGAATAGGCAATGTGGGACACACTGCCGTAGTTTGTGTAATTCTCAATCCGCAGCCATCCCTGGTGCATATTTTGTCCTTAAAGTGCATTTTGTGTCCTGAAGAGCAACTCTCTTTGGGCAGTAGGACAATGAGTCAGCATCAGGTGTGTTCTGTTTACAAATAACACAACCCTACCCAATTTCCATTACTAGAAATACAACCAGATATCTGGTGTGTCAGCTCTCCTCCTTTTTCATCTAGCTTCTCCACTAAGAAATATCCTGAATTCCGTATTATGCCCCCATCACATTCATGCATCTCTTGCACATAAGCACGTAATTTTGAACAATAATATTGCAACATGTGTCAATGGAAACACAAAGAAGTCTGATGGGTTTTTACTATCGCTAATGGAGACAATACCTAAGCAGGAAAGAATGAAGCTTGATTGTCAAGCTGCGTAATCAAAACTTGCAGCTCTGTAAAGCAAATTTATTTGCAAAATTTGATGTAGAACTCAGTAAGACAAAATAAACACAGGACTTCTTAGATGTCTTTTCTGTTGCCACTTCCTAAGGTAGACCTGACTGTATTTCAACAGTTTCTTTCAGCGGGACTTCGATATTTCTAACATGCAAGATTTATTTTTTCCATAAACGATATTCTTACCTTGCACTCAAACAGAACACAGTCCCCTGAGCTTGAATACACAGTTTCTCTTTGTCCTTCAAAGTAGGTTCTGCCTTCAAATACACACACCGCTTCAGGAGAAAAAAACAAAAAATGTTTTGTAAAAAAGTGTTAGTACTCTGCTTATAGAACTGATGCTTTTTCTTAAAGATAACTGCATTTCAAAATGAAAAGATTGAATCAGATGCACAAATATTCTAAACCTGTAGGACTCTATATCATAAGGAGAAAAAAAAAATCAGAGGATAAAAAAGCCACCAAAGAATGAGGAAAACACAAACACATAAGTAGGTGGTGAAGGCTGTTGAAGCACTATGGAGTACAGGTAGCTACTGATGAGGCAGAAGCGACGTGTCTCAGGTCACGACAGAGGAGCTGTGCCTGCCTGCCACACAGCTCAGGGGCGGAAATGAAAAAGGAGCCAAGAGAGCCGTGAGAGTGGCATTAACAGATAATCAGTTTTCTGAAGAGGCATGTTGCATGATAAAAGGCGATCGCTGGAGCCACGTTATTTATTTGTTATCACAGACCTCTGATGTTTCCTCACGCCACGCTGGTATTTAAACATCACATATTTGTATCTTGATTATCCCAGTTATTTACCATTACTGCCAAACGATATTAGAGTATATAAATTCAATTGTACAGGAACGGATTTTTGTTCCCCCCCACCCCCAACAGAAGTAGGATCAAGTCTCAAATGGACAAATGACAGAACAATGCCCCTGGGATCAGTGTTTGTTATACCATGACCTGGCCCTAGCAGTACTGGGTTTTACAGCAGCGTGCTGACACAGCTCATACTGGTTTGCTCGCTAAAGTTCCCATTCAGTATTTAAAGGTTACATAAAATATCTTCACAGCAAGCCGCCTTACTATTTTTTTTCTTTTTTTTTTTAACATGGGTCCATTAGTGCAATTACATTACGAAAAATATAAAAGCTAAGTAATGTAACTGCTAGGTATAGAGAATCCAATGTCTCTGTTGCTTAGGACACAGTCAAGGCTCATCAAGTAAGCATAATCATGAAATAACACAAGTAGGCTATGATTTTCAAGTTTGGGATTACATATTAGAGGTCTAATTTGCTAATCATTGATTTGGAGATGTAAATCAGTTATACTACAATTCATTCACAGTAAGATTTATCAATTCTGTTTAAACAGACTACAATTTGTAGACAATTTAAAAATATCTAAACCTGCAAGACTTCTTATGTGTGACCTATCTTAATAATTACTGCTGTTATTTTGAATTCTCCTTTACTTTTTTTTTAAAAATTGCAGCTCCTTTATTTTACAAACCACTTATTACTTTGCCAACATGTAAAAAGTCAGCTCTTGGAATTGATGTTGCAAAAGACATGATGGGCACAGTGACAAAAAAGTTTTTTTCAAACTCCAAAAAAGGAGTTGTTATATCATACAAAATATGTCGTGTGATATAAGTCTGCACAGCACTTTCAAAGACGTAATATCACAGCACATGGCAACACTCCAAATCCCACAAATAACAGTTTCCAGACAGACTTAATAAAGAAAGTAGAGAAAAGAGCCACAGGAGAGAGTCCAGAGGAGAGTCCTATGGCTAACAGAAGGAGAAAGTTTGTACAATATCCACAAAGAAAGATCACAAAGAGTCAAAAAATCTCAATACAGTGCCTCTTTCCCAAAAAACAAGCTCTTCTCAAAGGAAGTATGTGAAAAAAAATCTATATAAATTTTTACTGGGGACAGCAGATCTTGAATCCAGACAGGATAAGGCAATCATCTGGTCAGACGTACCACCTCTCATGAAGTACAGGCCATGACACTAAACTGAAATACTCATATATTAATCTCTTTCCCTTGCTCCACACACTTCAAGCTTCTAAAAACTACATGTGACAGGAAACAACGAAGTACAGCAATGCCTGAGGACCACGCCGTGGCAATGGACTGATAATTTAACACATCCTCATGCTTCCCACAGGCAGACAGGAAAAGCAAAAGACATCAAAATCACTGTCAGTTTGTCTTGGAAGAAAACACTCTCTTGAAGCTAAAAGACTCTTAACATATGAATAAGACCACAGAGGTATCTTAAAAAAAACCTCCCACAAAACAGTACCTATACTGCCTCAAAGCATAGTCCATTGATTCCAGTCTCCTTATCAATAGTGACAAACCTCTGATTCTTTAGAGAAACTCAGAAAATACAGAAAAAATACAGAAAACATAGAAAAACCATCAAACATACACATCCAGCCTAGTGTGAAATCATGAAGTTATTTCTTGATTCCACCAACAGCCTTCGGGAGCCTTGGCATATGAAATTATCGTAATGCTGTGATGCAGTATCACAAATGCTTTCTTTTTGCAAGAAAATCAACTCATCTCCATAAAGCCTTGGAAAAAAGAAAAACTTACAAATTCCAGAGCTGTGAAAGATAGCTCTGCCCAGACAGCGCTTGCCTCTTTCCCATATGTCTTCATACACTCAAAGATTGTTTCTCAGAGGCTAGAAAGCAGCATTCATGTTTCAAAAATTTCAAGCAGTGCTACCATCCCCATTTCCACAACCACAACACCTGGCCATCATGCAGCTAAGAAAAATTACATCTCATTCATTGAATTCCCCTAATAAACATTTCCAATTACTGGCTTTTGCTGTGGCTTTGTCAGCAAGGTTATAAAGCCCCCAGGTATCAGGGACCTGCCTATACAGAGTGACCAGACTATGTGTAAGAAAAGAGATAAATCCCAATGAACAGTAAATGTCCAGTTGAAAAACTAAATTGAAACTAAATTGAAAACCTGATAACCTGAATAGTCTGAATACAAGTCCAAGTATGTCTTCTTATGAATTGTTGCTCTCACTCATTACATTCAAAAGGGACATTTCTTCTTAAAATCACCAAAATCAACACTGCCTGGATTATTTCTTTCCTACTAGTGTTCTCTAAAATATAAATTTCACCAAATTTGGGCAGTTCTTTCCATTAAAAAGCAGCAAGAACTAAAATTACCCAATAAAGCTTTAACTCAGAGCACTATCAGTGGGTTTTTGTTTTCTCACCTCTGCTAATTTTGCCAAATGAACTTACAAGAAACACAGGGGCACTTCATCTATACCAGTACCACTGGCTCCACATTTATTTAACAAGACAAGATACCGATGGGTTTGGTGATGGTTTAAGTTTGCCAGTGTACACTGTCTTTCCTTCTCCAACAGTCCCATAAGTGCCTCTGTCTCTTTTCTATTGTCTTGCCAGCCCACTCGTCTTCTGCTGCTCACAGAAGAGGCATCCTGCCAGATAGTAAAGGGCAGATTTTTACCAGGCTGCCCAAAGGCTTCTAAAAACTTTAAGGTTGTCTTGTTAGACAAGCATTGCGGTTTCTTGGAAAAATTTCTAGAAAGACAAGGCTGCTAACCTTCTTCTGGCCCACTTTCCTCCTAAGACAGCAGGACCCACATCCCAGGCAGCATGGAACAGAATGTTTATCCTGCTTCTTGACAGCAGCTGTCACAGCCAGTACACATCCTGTGATGCTGCTGTTTCATGTCTTTATTTTCCCTCGGAAATAAAGATATTTCAACAACATGAACATCTGGACTAGAACTGTGTAATTGGGAAGTCCAGAGAAGATTTAATTTCTGCTTGGCTAGATGCTTCCCAGGATACTGTGATTAGTTTGTGATTGGTATCTCTTGGGGAAACACATCATCTTTCATCTTGCTAAGTCCTTTCATTCGACAGACTGAGTCACAGTCGAGAAATTACCTGATGATTAGTTGTCCCAGAACTTGATAGTTATTGCCTATGTAGGATTTCATCTACAGTTGAATTACATCAACCATTTCCTCTTGCCAAGCTTCCACATCCCCCCAGTATCTAAAATAACGTATATTACCCAAAGTACGGTCTCCTAAGAACATGAAACAGGAAGTCTACAAAACCTACGAGGAAGTTTGACTGCTCTTGATATATTCGTATACAGAAGGTGAACAAATATTACAATGATACAATACTACAGGGTCTAAAAAATTATTATGTTCCCACTACTATCTTACACAGGTGTAGTGATAATACAATTATTTGATGTAGTACCATTGTGTTAATATGATATCTTCTCCATATTCACCCAGTAAAGGGAATCTTTCAGGAGCCCACCAGCTGTTATGTTCACTCAGTAAATTATCAACAGTCAAACCATCACTTCCTTCTTCCCCGTGGCCTCCAAATGGCATTTTCCTTCTGCATTTCTTAAAATGTCCATGCAAAATCCAGACCCAGCTAACTCCCGCCTTCTGTTCATGAGGTTCACAGGATGTCACTTAGTACATTTCCTCACTTCTGTATTTATCACCTTTGCTGTCTATATGGTGTATATAGATGTTCCTTCGAGAAATGCACGTACACTTCCCTGTGGTATCTAAGCAGATTTTGATTCAGACTTTTCACCAAGGGAAAGCAGAAAGTTTAGTACATTGGTGATCATCTCAAACCACTTAACTTTCTAGTATTCATAACTGCCCTATGAGTGGCAGATGTGACTTAAAGTTTTGTGAAATTTGTCAGCAGTTATGGATATACGGTTGAAATCATATGGTTGAAATCTAGTAATGAAGTCCATGGCACTGCATTCTTTGCTCACATATGCTGGTTTGGGCATGGAGGGGAGAGAGGAAACAACAAAAATTAGCATACAAAAAAAACCCTATCTTGTTCATTCCGTTTTCCAGCTCCCACCTTGGAATCAACTTGATTACATTTTCCAGTGTTCAGAGATCAAGGCTTAGGCATTTTGTGAGTCCCATTAATCCTCCTTTGCAAGCTTACATAGTGCAAAACCTCCATGTGGCTTTATCCTTAGAAACACACTCAGAGATAATGGTCACCTATTGCGAATTTCTCTTGACTGCCACACCACATTACTAGGCATTGCTGTCACCCTCTTCTCGTTTATCTTTGCAGGGATTCAGGTGTTATTTCTTCTTTGCTCATTTTCTGGAGGGCAAAAGTTCCCTTCTCTGCCAGTGAGACTGGAGCCTTGCCTTATTTTATGCTGTCTCCCTCAACAATTCAAA